AAAAAAAAAAAAAAAAAAAAAACTTAAAAAAAAAAGATCCTGAGCAAGAGTGATACCCCATCAGTATAAAAAAAAAAAAAAAAGGAAAAGGAAAAATTAACCAGTTGTGGTAGCCTGTGCCAGTAGTCCCAGCTACCCAGGAGGCTGAGACATGAGGATCACTTGAGCCCAGGAGTTTAAGATTGCTGTGAGATATGATGATGCCACTAATCTCTAGCCAGGTAACAGAGTGAGACTCCATTTAAAAAAAAATTAACCAGATAATTTACTGTTTTTAAATGTTATCTTGACATATGTGTTTTCTTATGTGTTCTACAGTACTAATTATTAAAAGATATACCTGAAAGTTTCTCCTTTTTTAAAATGTACATGGTTAATGATTTTCAAAATATCCTAAGGACTTTCATGACACTTTTTAAGGAACACTCTTTACATTTAGATTCAAATAATAGTAGTCACATAGCACTCCTCATTCCCTTTTATTTTACATATTTTCATATTCTGGGGAAAAGATATATTCATTCATTTACATTACAGCTTTTGAAAAGTTTTTTTCAATTTTCTCATTTTCTTAATATTGCTGGAAAGCAACATAAAAGATCAGGATAGTTTACATTGCTAGCTTATTTAGGGCTCATTTACATATTATGATACTGCTCATTGTAAAATCTTGGGCATCTCACTTCTGTAGTCCTCAGTTTCCACGTGTGTTTAAAATCCTATGATTCTAGGAATAAACAGAAAAACTTCTTTCAATGTATTGATTCTGGTATTATCTCCAGGCCTCTGCTTCCATATCTATAAAATGAGGGCTTTGCATTTAACTGATCTTGAATACCTGTAGTGTCCTGTTCAAGGCCCTGCCTGTGTTGATGATCCTGGTTCTGGGATGAGCTGGGCTACTAGGAAAAACGTTTGCCTCGTTGTTCCTATTATTATGTTTTCTCCTTACATTAATAATTTTCTCTTCTGCACAGCTTCTTTCAGCATCCTCTGAAGGGGAGGAAGAATTATGTTTCCCCACAATTCGAAGTCTAGCTGAAAGAAAACATAAAAAACTGTGTATACGCAAAGTTTCTGAAGATTTTGAAGAAGTTAGCTTGGATGGGCAACTAGCAGGACAAGCCTTTCAGCTCAGTTTACCGTGTGGAGTTGTGGGACAACCTTTTTCATTTACAAGCCTTCGTGGCCAAAAAGCGCCTATTTCCAACTCTACCTTTGGCACTGGAGCCTCTGTTCCACTTTCTCGCTTGGGTGCCCCACCTCCTAGCCTGGCTGCCCCACCTCCTGGCCTGGCTGCCCCGCCTCCTAGCCTAGATGCCCCGCCTCCTACCCTGGCTGCCCCGCCTCCTAGCCTGGCTGCCCCGCCTCCTGGCCTGGCT